CCTCCGTTTTTTTTTTTTGGCGGTGATCATAATGGTGGTCGAGTAGATCATGTTGTCCGGGGTGGAGAACCCTCGCTCCGCGCAAGGGGGATGATCGCACCACGTTGTGTTAAAATGGTCAAGCACCCTCGAGGCAGTTACACAGTGCTTACAACTGTCTCAGGAAGTGAAAGCACCAGAAAATAAATTAAGTCATACGCAGCTGTCATCCGTACGCAAGGAAGTAAGCACAAGATGCCGAAAACCCTTAGCAGGATGCAGCGCACCCTTCATGCGACTCGTCGAATATCTCACGGCGCTTCGCGCTTGGTGACGTGAGAGTCTGGTCCGGTGAGAACCCGGCGTGCTGCGTCCCGGCTTTGGCTTTGTAGGGATGCGAGGACAATGGTCTAACGACTACGACATGCACGCCTATGAGTACCCCCCCCCTTCCCCTCCCCCGCGAACAAACAAGGTGGTACTTCTTCTGTACATGATATCATTGCTCGGGCTCTTCGCCCTGTTCTTCGTGAAGCGGTCGTTGCTGGGTCCCGCCGAGGACCCGGGCATGTGCGGCGTAATCAAGTCGCTCGAGGCCGACAGCAGCGGCGGGATTGGGGGCACCGCAGGCAAGACGGGGGGGGTAGTAGCGGCACCGGCGGCGGCGGCGGCGGCGGCGGCGGCGGCGGCGGCGGCGGCGGGATCGTGGCACGGGAATGTTTTGCTGGACGAGGTCGGGGCGGCAGAGATATGGCTCCCGCCTGGGTTCCCTGCAGAGGTGCGAGGGGCTTTGGTCGCGGTGCTGCGAGGGTTGTTGTTGTTATTGTTGTTCTTGTTCTTGTTCTTGTTCTTGTTCTTGTTCTTGTTCTTGTTCTTGTTCTTGTTCTTGTTCTTGTTCTTGTTGTTCTTGTTCTTGTTCTTGTTCTTGTTCTTGTTCATCCTCTTGTTCATGTTGTTGATGTGCTATGGTCAACAGTTCTGTTGACACCGACAATCAAGCCCCTGTTACATTGTCCGCGAATCCCCGGCACAGCTCTCCCCATGCACTATCCGCAATACATCTTTGTCACCAACATGCTTCCTCCCCCCCCCCCAACACCTGGCTATACCAACATACAATTTGTGTCATGTACATGTTGTGACACAGACTCTCGCCGGATCGACGACATACAGCTACCAGCTCACCCCAGTCGGAGCGCCGATGCCCGGGCTGTTCGTTTCGGAAGAGATCGCGACAGCGACGAGCCGAGGCAGCAAGCCAATCAGCAGGCTGCGGGGGCATAATAATGACGCCGATTCTTGCATCTCCTTCTCGGTGAAGGGAGGGAAGCCGGGGTTCACCGTGTCTTGGGCGGTCGCTGCGGTGGGGGCTCCGTGCGGTGGGGGGGGAGGGACAGGGGGGAAGCAGCCTCTCTCCCCGGGCCACAAGAGTAGCGAATGATATTTGGGGGAGGGGTCCCGTGTTTCAGTTCCGATGGCAGCAGGGGAGGTGCTGGTGCTGCCGGCTGAGTTGATTGGCCGGGGGGAGTGGGCCACGCAAAGGGCTTTAAGGGCAGTGCCTGAATCCCTACGAACGGGCAGGACATACAAGAGGCCAGTGTACCCTATGAAATATGTGGGGGAGGGTTTGTTTGCCGCATGTATCTACGTGTGACTTGGATTTGTTTGCCTTTTTTTTTGTAAGTCAATGTTGATGCTCGTGGTTTTATATATTATGGTGTGATTGTGTGTGCGGCCCGCGTGCCGTCGCTCCGCGCCGGGGGCGGTAGGTGCACATTGCTGTGTGGTGCATGTGGCATATCGAGTTCCGAGGGGAAGCTTCTCCAGTAAGTACCTGTTGCCCTTGATCGCAACTTTGGCGTCATAGAGTTCTCCATGCGCATGAGAAGATCATACAGGGCTCACAGAAACGGACCGCGTGATTTCATTTTTGAGAGGGGGGGTGTTGCGGTGGTGAACGATATACGGAGCACTGCTAAGCGAGTAGACCAACTGGCGTGTTGATCCGTCCTGGTTTTCTGGTAGTGTCGTGCTTCGCTGTTTTTTCTTTTGTCGTGCGTGTGTCTTCATTCTTGTCGTTCCTGGTTTTGTCGAAGCAGTTTTGTGTACAGCGGTTGCTGCCCACACGCTCGCGCAGGTTTCATTTTTTCGAAGTAAATGTTTGGTTCGTCTATTGTCCCTGTGTCGTGGTAGGAGGGAAGCCCGTTCAAGTTGGGGTGAGAGTTTGTGTGCTGCAAGTTGCGGCAGCATCACTTGATTCAAGGGTATTGCAAGGTTAGGTTCTGTGGTACGCGAAAGGAAAGTGTGTGGGGGAAGACAAGTGACCCATCGGGAGTGCACGCATGAGAGCACAATGTCATCAAGGGGTGATGCAAGATGAAGAGCAAAAACAGACAGCTGGATCAAACCGACGGCTGGCGTCCAGCTGCGAGGCGACATTTCCCACGCTCAACAGCGCACAACGGCTGGCGTGATTCTAGCTCGAAGAGCCCTGTGAACCTCAACAAAACTGAAAGAAAATTACAAGTTTGAATACAGTCTTATGAGACTCCTGCGTGGCCTTCTTCCTCCTGCGTGGCCCCGGCTGATGCTACGTCCCGAAAACTAAATTACCGAGAGGTGTGACCCCTGACGTCCCAGAATAAATATGTAGCACTGCACCCACATACACATTGCTTTGCTTCACAACATCGTGCAATGTAGGTACCGCAAGTGATGTGCAGGTGGGGCCTACGCCGGCCGGGATTTTTGTTTTTCTCGAGTTCTCGATCGACATCGTTCTAGCGCCTGCTAGTTCTATTCTGTCCTTTACCATCCGGGGACCAAAACAGCGGGAGGTGAACATCGGTCCACACGGGGCGGGGGGCGGGGTGTCCACACGACGCCATCTTTTGGTGCATAGGCTACGGTCCGCTTACCCAGGCCGGTTGCTTGTTTACGCGATGACTACCATCGAGGGTTGTTGGTTCTCGGACCCACTATGGCGGCGCATTTCTTGGCGGTGTACACCCGCCTGAAGCAGCCGCTCTCTAGCGTCACCCGATATGCCCGGATTTCCCGCCACGCTAAGCCAGACCAGAGGTGGAAACAGCTCGGGCGCCGACGTCGCGTTCCTTCCCCAAGAATGGCGGTTTATCGTCGATTCTTTGTCGTTTTCGTCTTGCGCCTCCAGCATATCGCTCAGAGCCGCAGCTCCCGCGTCCTCGATCCGATTGCCGGCAAGGCTAAGGGTTTCCAGGATACACGACCTGTTCTTTGTGTGATTCGCTCCCGCCGCTGCCCCGCCGAGCCGAACCGTCACCGCGGCCTCACGCAGCGCCGAAGCTATCGCTGTCGTTCCGACGTCGCCGATGTTGTTGCTTCGCAGGTCGACACTCCGAACCGCGGCCAGAGCCGGGGCAAGCGCCATGGCTCCTCGGTCTCCGATCCTTTTTCCCGCCAGGCTCAACCGGAGGAGAACGCCGGGCCTGAATGGAAAACCGTACCGTGGCATACATAGCACAGAAAAACAATGAAAAGAGACAAAAGGGAAACCGAAGGAGAACGCCAGGCCTGCATGGAAAACCGTGCACCGCTGTGGTACAACACAGAAAAAATAACGAACACGAAGTGAGTACTGTTTTCTCTCAGCTCACAAAATCACAGGGCGTCGCCTCCTGGCGGTGACCGCGCATGACCATCCCGGGACAGGGGCACGAAGTATTACGGCTCGCCTCTTCGAGAAGTCTTCGTTTCAATTAGAGAAGCAGCAACCGTGACCCACGGCAATTTATGACACGGAAAAATAATGAAGACATGGTCAGCGAGCGGCCATGAACACTGTATGTCGGAAACTGACACCCGCAAATAGTAACACCTTGGTAACACGGTAAAGAGTATAGCCTTGTTCACGAACACGTAGGAAAAACGTTGCGGTTGAGGTTTGTGTTCGCGTCCTCGAGTTCTCGTCGTCATCCAACCTCTGTTCCCCCGCTCGAAGGACCGCAACTACCTCGCACGGGCGCTTGACGTCTATTCATTGTTCAGCCGATTCAACTTAGCGATTGGTTCGACTTAAAATACGCGCGTGCACACACCACTGACGTCTTGTCGTTGGCCAGCCTGTTTGCGAGGTTGATGCTAACAACCAACGACAAGATCACGGACCTTGCAAGAATAACCCTCTCTACGGCAGACGCCTGCCGTGGGCCGATCGGCTCGCTGTACTTGAGCTCGCACATGGCCGAGATGGACGGGAAGCTCGGGGCCAGGACCCTCCCGCCGTCCTCGCCCATGACGGTAGAGGTCAACAAGGCTGCAAGAGCGTCCCTCAACGGCCCCTCCCGCACTCCCCGAAGGAGGGCCTCTTCCCCTGGCTTTGATGGCCGCAGGAAGCGTTTATTGTCACCGTCCGCGGAATGCGGTTTCGAATGGCCTCGCGCACCAGCGTCCCCGCCCATCGCGGCGTCTGATTTATCGATGGTATCGTTCGCCCGAGTTTCCTGTCGCGAGAGGCCGTGCGTACGACCACAACCTTGTCGGTGGTCACCGCGACTGCTGTCTTCATTGGTGGGTGCAGACCTCCCTCTACCATGCTCGTTCATGCCGCCCTCGATCGTTGCACCACCGCGGTCGCTTTTGCCTGGAGACATCCCTCCGCCGCTCGCGGCCCCGCCCCCCTTGCGCCGGGTGCCGCCCCCGACCGCGTCACCCCCCCGCGGCTCGTCTTCGTCGGCCGCTGCAGAAACGCCACCGCCGCGTTCCGAAGATGTGCCGCTCGCTGCTGTCGCGGCGTCGGGCTCTTCCCGAGAAGCCGCCCCGCCCATGACTTTGGTCTTGATGGCGCCTTCGTCATCGTCAGTCGATGATGGCCATGCGGCAGCCGCTTCGACGGTGGTTACAGATGCGGCAGAACCGGTCTGCCTCTTCACGACTACCGCCGCCGCCGCCGCCGGGAGCAATCGCGATCGTTTTGGGCTTGTGGTGAGGAGGGCTGTCAGTGGCGGAGGGGTCGCTTCACCCGCTTTCGCAGCCGCGGGAGACGGCGTCGAGCGCGCCGCCGCCGCCGCTGCTGCTGCTGCTCTGGCTTCCATCTTCCGCTGGAGACGGTCCTCGGGCGTGGGCCGCCTCACAGACTTCCCTGCGGCGAGGATGCGGGTAGTCCTCATGTTTGACATTCGCGACGACCTGTCGAACCTGCCAATGTTGTTGTTGTTGTTGTTGTTGTTGTTGTTGTTTGTTGTGCTGTCGATACATCATGAAGCGTTCTGGTCTCTGTCGATACATTAAAACTCAGTAGATACGTTCTACGTTCGTACCGTGCCGGTTCAACTCAGGGCTCTGGGTAGGCCATGTACCAGGTAGTTTGTTTTCGGCAAGTATAAGGGCGACATGAAAGGAGACGAACAAATGGCCGCGACCTCGATATAGCATCGCCCATTGCAGGCGAAGACACACAGGGGCACAGCAGCATGAACGAAGCACCCACAAACCAGGAACAAGAATGGGCAGAGATTGATATCGGGGGGGCGCGGAAACAACTTTGTTGGATTTTCTCTGATGACCCCCCAATGGCGACAGGATGCTCACACCTTTTCGGGCTCACGCTTATCTTGCCGCCGCCCCAGAGAGATCTCGACGCCCCTCCCCCGTCAGTGTTCGTTGGGCTTGATATTGCGTCGCCCCCCGGTCCCCTCCGTAGCTTTTCTCGAAGCGGCGACACCGAGCGAGACGGTGGCGTTGATCGGTCACGGCCGGCATCGGTTGCCCAAGCTTCCGTGGCATCATCGGCGCAGGGCCATCTCCTTGCACCCACGGCCCTGCTGCTGTCGAAGAGCAAGACCCCACCACCGTCGTCTCCGCCGTTGCCGTGTCCTTCTCCGTGGCGGCCGGGGGAGCGGCTTTCGGCGGTATCTGGCTTCCTCTCACGCCTGAAACGACGGGGAGTTGTATGCGGAAAGGAGAAACGCACCACTTTAACAATTGTGTTGACTTGAAGCAATGAAGTGCAAGTAAAATCTCGCACATCCGAGGAACGCTGATTTCCACTGACCGGCCAATGGTAGGTAGGGGTTTCATGTGCTGCGGTCTGTGTATCGAAAAAGGGAAGCTCACCGAAGACATAAAACAATTCCTCAGCTTTCCTTATCAGTGCATCCCCCGCCCCTTGAGAAGTTACCGACTAGACGCCTGGGACATTCAGTTTCGTACAAAAAAACATCTGGCAGAGGCTATTTTGTGCAGTAGGGCACAGTCGTTCTCAGCTTCTTGATGCCACACTGTTGCGTCGTACACCCGCCCCTTCCCCATTCGCACAGGCTGACTTCGGTGATGTTCATATGGGGGGGGACATCGGTCGCGACTTTCAAAGAGTACTTAGTCAACAACTGAGGTATGCAAAATATGAGCACGCCCCCCCCCCCACTCCCTCCACCATGCCCGTTCCCCGTACTCATTCAACTCGCCTCTTTGTGCCTCTCCTAGAGGGCGTCCCAATACTTTTCGGGGTCATCGGGGACCGCAAGGCCTTCTTCTTCGCCGTCATCCTCGCGCTTGCCCCGTTGCCAACTGTTTGGGGTCAGCAGTTCGGTGTCAGCTTGTAGGCCGAAGAAGGAAGAAGGTTGTCTCACGACCTTGCCAACTGTTCGGGTGCAGCAGCTAGCTTTCAGCTAGATAGACCGAAATATTAAGAAAGTTTCTTTGCGACCTTGCCAGTTGATTGGTTGCAGCAGCTAGCTTGGTCAGCTAGGCCAACATAGAAAGGAGGCTAACTCGAGACCTTGTATCTCAAACAAGTGGCAGCCCACAGGGACCCCGCGAGTCCTGTCCATCATAACCACCATAAAATCCACGAACCCCCCCCGAGTGTCGATGTGCGAGTCTGGTCCGGTGCGAACCCGGCGTGCTCAGTCCCGGCTTTGTAGGGATGCGAGGTCAATGGTCCGTCGACTACGGCATGCACGGCTGTGAGTACCCCCCCCCCC